ACTTGACTCCAACCGAACCAGAACGATACAAGTCCTTTAACTCCTTTTTTAGACATAATAATATTTCTGTGCGCAATTGGCTGCCTAGTTTTGCCCACAACATACGCAGTCATTACACTTTACAATATATTCAGTGAAGTGCTTTGAAGACGCGATAAAGCACTACATCAATTGCAAGGATTATTATTACTACTAAAATTCCATTTATTAAAAAATAACAAACGAGCGGACTATAAATTCTGAAGAATTCTTCTCCGTTACCATTTGGCTGAAATCTTGCTCCTCGACCCAAATTTTCAATTGAGCAGTGAAATTTTAGCTGAATGCTAGAACGATGACTTACATCAGTGAAAACACCAGCAGGGTGGACGGTTACAAAACTAGCCCAGCTGCGAAACTGAGGCCAGTAAAAGTGTCGTCACATTGTGAGGAAAGTGAGAGTCTTTCTATCATCTAGATTTCGAGGAGGCATTTTGCAAACCAGTTAAAAAATTCTGGACTGCAGTCTAGACTCAAAAAGATCCAACACTAAATTCGTAAATTTTGAGTTGACGTCTCACGATGAAGGTAAACAAAAAAATTCAGATGATTAAGTGCTGCAAGATCTTGCTCAGCAAGACGCCCTCCGTATAAGTTGTTGTCATTGAGTCCACATCATTGCTAATTAACGGTATTGGAGGCTGGTAGCGTATTGCTCAGAGCACTCGCCTCGCAAGCGAGAGAACCCGGGTTCGATTCCCACGCAGGGTGAAACCTTAGGCAAGTTTCCTTACTCTACACGCCTCTGTTTACCCAGCAGTAAGTAGGAATCCGGTTGTTAGCTAACTGGCGTATCGCTTTTCCGGGGGTTATAATCCCTTCAAAGAATTAATCAATCAATAAATAATAATTTGGTCACTCAATCCACGACTATTTGTGGGACACTGCTGTGCACAATTGGCTGCCACGTTTTACCCACAAAATATACAGTCAACTCACTTTGCAGTGTATTCTGTGAAACGCTTTGAGATGTCTCAATGACGTGATGAGGCGCTATATCAAATGCAAGGAATATTATTATTATTATTATTGAAATTGCACTTGCCTCACTTATTTTATTTGAAATACTACCACTCACTTTCACCAGCTACTTAATGCCAATAAATGCTAGTCCTGCACTCAGGCAAACGATCTACCCATACTCATTATCAATAGAAAACAATTTGAAGAGAAGAATAATGGTACACAAGATAATGAATGGGTGAGCAGCAGGAATTATATGTATGGTATCAGCTGCGATGACATTGCCAACTGACCTGATTAGCACTAAAGAATAGGAAATAATTATAAGGTGTAAAATGTTTTGAGATAAACCGTGGATAATGCCTGGTGATACTGAAAGGATAAAACATTTTCTTTCCCTTCTCCCGCGATAGTAATGATACTGCCGGTGACTAATTTCACTTTATGTCGGTTCAGTTTGAGCATTGTCTGAGGTTAGCGATGTGGCTTACACAAAGCTTAGTCAGTGACCTCTCGCTTTGATAGTTTAGGAATGTTTTGATCCAATCAAGAGAACAATGACAGTTTTATTAAGGACTGCAATCCACAGCCTTTTGGCGAAAAAAAAACCTCTGAGACAAAGTGCAGTTCTAGGAGAATCCAAACAGTTCAGCTTTTATTAATGTAATTAAACTGTATAAAACTTAATGACTGTTTAGGTATGCTAACAAAATAATGTGCTCATTAAATTGTCTTGGCAGTAATATGCACAGTTATATTGCTTAATGGCTGTTATGTCACATACCACAGCGTTTCAGAACAGCCAAGGATATTACTTTACTGTCCCTTTTTTGAGGTTCTTACATTTCTATTGATTAAACAACAACAACATGTAATTATATAGCGCCCTTCATGCGGGATAGTTTCCCAAGCGCTTAAATATATTTTCACTCAGTGCATGACAATTTATTGCTTTGCCACTTGAAATAATTTTGCATGATCTGGTATATTTATCACAGTTGCAGGCTTAGGAACTCTTTTAGAACAAAAAGCATTCAAGTGTTGAAGGCAGACTCAGGGTAGGATAGTTACTGCGGGAGCTACTCATAAAATGGCCTGCGACAGTTAGTAAACTAGTGAGAGAGCGGGAATGTCAACAAGGGTGAGAGCGGAAATGCCAAGGAGATGCGGAGAGCAAACAATCTGTAATTCACACAGGTAATAACCATCAGAATTCACTTGCGTTTAGAGAAGTGTTTAGGGACCAGCTCCAAATTTGAGTGAATGCAAAATGTTAGGCAATTATCCGGTGCTATCCCTCCTGCACATGTTAATGTCAAACTAAGTTCAGCAAGTTACTGGGGGGAGGGTTTCACGATTGAAAAGCAGCAACTGTCAATACAGGTGTATCCTGTTTGCTCTAATGCAATTTTACGTTAGAGGCTTCTCAATGGCTATGATGGTTGAGGAGCTGTTACAAATCCTGCCTCTCCATGTTGGCTTTAAATGCCTTTCTGCCCATCAAGCAGACATATCCTCAGTGCCCTGGGAAGTTCACAAGATCAGTTTGGACGAAGAAGGCCCTTCGGCCCATTTGATCTCATCCTTCCAGAATTCATCAAGCTGATTTTTGTGTACATTTCTCCCACAAAATATGCAGCCAATTCACTTTACAGTATATTCTGTGAAGTGCTTTGAGACGTCTCGAAGTTGTGATCAGGCGCTATATCAAATGCTATATCAAATAATAATCCTTATCAAATAAGAATTATTATTATTATGATAGATGATTTCCTTGCTGGGTCTGGGAATGCTCTGTCACTGAGCTGATTGTGGCTTCGATATTGTTTGTCATACTCTGAATTGACTTGGATTGTCCAGAATTACAATAGATTGTACAGCACGGAAACAAGCCATGGGTCACCGGGATGCAAAATGCAACAGAGATTTTCAAGGTGGTAATTGTTACGTCATATCTGTCATGAAAGCTCACATTTTGCACCCAGCAAAGCCAGGTTTCTGAATTTGGAAAAGGTCAACTAGATCTTTTCATTAGAACCTTACAATTGTTTCACCCACAAATATGCAGCCAATTCAGTATATTCTGTGAAGCGCTTTGAGACGCCTCGAAGAGACATGAAAAGCGCGCTATCAAATGCAAGGATTATTACTTATTATATAACAACGGTATAAAAATGAGTCTATTAGATGATTGCATCCTTGGCTCATTGAAAGAGAAAGGGTTGATAGGATTAAACCCCTTGTGGAGATCTGTGTTGTTTCCCTGACAGCCTTTCTCAGAATAACATGAGTAGTGCCATGTGACTTTTAAAGTCCACCCTGAACAGGCAGAGGGGACATCAGTTAAATGTCTTATCTGAAGGATAGCATCTCCAACAACAACACAGCATCAGAATGTCAGCCTGGACTGAGTTTTAACTCTTAAGTGGAGGGCTCAACGCACGTAGCCTTCTGACTCTGAGGCAAGAGTTCTACCAACTGAGTCAGGTTCAGGTAAGCAACCTCATTGCAATTTGTCATGATATTGGTTTAAAATCCTGTGAAATTTTTCAGGTAAATAGTTGGACACCTCAGCCCAGCTCATGTCAGCTGAGAGACGGATGAAAAATAGTAAGGTATGGAAAAGAAAATCAGTACAAAAAACAGGTGCTAACAGACTGGCGACTTTATAAATCACCATCAGCGCAGTTATATTAACTCCCTTATCAGTCATGCAATGGCATTAGTTTGTGAACATGATTCCAGCAAGGAATAGCTCTCACATATAGCTCCTCGATGCAACTGGGTATCAGGGAATCAAAGTCATAACCGCATGTGTTATCAATTCAATTTTTCACTTGCCAAATGTAGTTACAGTATAAATTACATGAAATAACGGATGATGTGATAGAGAGTTAATGGCCGTAATTCAATCTTGGGGTCCTGCTGAAGTTCATAAAGGACTGGAGCTAAATTCTTGTAGATTAGTACATCATCAGATTGAATTATAGCCGTGTAACCTCCTCCAGAACGTCCATTAGTTCAGATATAGTTTGCTTTTTTTAAAAAAAACAGCTGGTCTCCATTGTCCGATTGGCTGCTCAGACTCTAGAGATGATGAGAGGTGAAAGCTGGGCACGGCTGAAGATTAAAAACCATTTAACATTATTACAAGACATTCAAGGTGAGGCCAATCTGGAGCTTATCTGAGTATTCCATAGTGATATTGGGTGTGATTCTTATACCAGCCAGGCTCTCGAATCTTAACAGGTTTGATGAGTTACCAAACCTGTGAGAAAAGCACAGCGATTTCCAGTAGATTCCTAAAGAGGCAATGGGGGTTAACCCCCCCCCCCCCCCGCCCACTAACAACTACATCAAATGAACCAGTGAACCAAGACTGGACACAGATATGGTTAATCACTATTAGGCAGCAACAGTAGCAAAACTGGCTTCCGAGCCCAAACGTTGTGCACATCAAATCCGTTATGAAACATCGCAATTTACACCCCATTATATAAAGATGGCATCCCCTGAAGTGCTTATCTCCTCCCCTGCTTTAGGCCCCATCTCCCCCAGGGATTTGACAGATTCTCTACCGAGCAGTTCCTGGTGCTTAATTGCATCTACTAACATTTGTTGCTCATTTCCTGCAGCAAATACGTGTGTGTACATGTTAAGACATAACCGGAACAGAGGTTAATTTAGTGCGCAACAGATTGTTTATCGAAGGATCCCAGTAAAGCAGAATTAAAATCCCAAATATAAACAGGAGTTGCTGGGAACACTCAGCAGGTCAGGCACCATTTATGGAGAGAGGAAAGTGAGTTAATGTTTATTAACATTTAGGTCATCGACCTGAAACGTTAACTGACTTTCTTCTCTCCATAGATGCTGCCTGACCTCCTGCGTGTTCCCAGCGACTTTTGTTTTTATCACAGATTTCCAGCATCTGCAGTATATAAATAATATACAGATTTAAAACCCGTCTCAATAAAACAATAGATAAAGCCATTTACCTGCTATCTCTCCCTTCGAAGACAGCTTTTTGCCATGCGTCGCTTTGATATGCATTTAATTTTAGCTGCAACAAAAAAAGCATGAAAATTAATTTAAGCACAATATCTACCAATTTTAGAATGAGATTCAAAAGTAGGATTAGCATGAAATTCATTAAGTATGATTGCAACGAGTTCTGTCGTAAGGAGTTACCAAAATGTAGTCATTGCTATGTGGACATATCGGCAATACTGGCTTTATGTCAAATACTTGAAAGCAAACACCTTCGGGTTTTCTTTTTTTCCTCGAAATCTATCAAACAATAAAGGATTTCCTTGCTTCCCTTTCCTTCCAGCGCCTGAAAGTTCAGTTCATAGAAAAACCGCAATTCTCCACGTTTATTAGCTCTCCTACACGTGACTGATCGCTTCTTCTTACCTTGTGTGTGGTGTCTGCAACAATGGCACAACATCAGAAGTATTATTATACCCACATAGTCCTTTTCCTAAATTGTCATCACCAAGCAAGTCATTTCCTGCTGCGCCTTTCGTTTAGAGTTTGGGCTGACATTCCAGGCTATCGATGGGGTTGCGCAGTGTAATGTTAGTTCGCATTAGACATTAAACCGAGGTCCTGGCTGCCTGCCTGCTCAGGTGGATGTGAGAGAACACACGACAGTGTACAGAAAGAGAAGGGATTTTCTCCTCGTGTCCTGGCCAATAATCCTACAGTTAAATTGGTCTTTGCCTCCTGGCTGTCTGTGGGCCATTGTTGTGCTTTTGTGGGGGCGTTTAGATGTTTTGAAGCAATAAGCGCTATTTCAAATGCAAGGAATATTATTATTATTATTTTCATACTGCCTCCGTTGTGATTTAGACAATATAAAGTTACCTTCGTATTCCACTTTTATTCATTACATATTCATGATTTATGTTGGATTTGTCCTGAGGGACAGATTTTCACCTAATAAGCCATTACACCTAGAAATGATGTCAGAATATCAACTAGCGCAATTTAATCAACTGGAAAAATAAATTACGGAACAAATGTCCTTCACAAATAGTCTGGAACAGTTATTTTACAACAATTTCTAAAAATGCATTTGCACGACTGATAAGCATTTATGTTTTGAGGATATAAGCAGCCAGTGGTCAAAACTGTCATTAACTAACTACTGCATGTTACTAAAGCACTCGATTGCCTTCTCCCAACATCCTTAGACATTACACTTTATCCCAAGACCTGCTCTCAGACTGTGATACAAAACCCTAGCTCTCTCTGGATATTGAGGCTGAAAAAAATAGCCGAACAAATTGCTGGATTGTCCGGCAATCAATTCCATTGCTGAATTTGCTCATTTATTTTACAAACTAAAGCAAAAGATAATCTACTTGGCGATTAACAATGAAGTGCTCACATTTTAAGAGGCAAAAGTGAGCCCTTAAATCTGTAGTGTAATCGAATAAAGTCGTCAAACGTTTTATGATAACAATATTCCTTACGTTTGATATAATACCTTTCATGTTGGGAAGACGTCTTAAAGTGCTTTCAACAACAACAACAACGATTTGCATTTATATCGTGCCCTTCGCGCGAGTATGTAGCGTGTTAGAGCGCTTAAAAAAAAACTCACAGGATTTATTGTGAAGTGTTGATGACTGTGTATTTTTTTAGGTGAATCGTGGCAGCCAATTTGCGCACAGCAGTGTCCCACAAACAGCCATGAAGTGAATGACCATGATGTGGTAATGATAGGTCTGCATTAACAATGTAGCTCGTTTTAAAAGGTGCAAAGCCTAATTACTCATAAAGTGCATTTGTCCCCCAAAAAATGCAGCACAACAGCTGGGCAAACAGACATGGGAGGTGCTGTTTCCTGTACACTTGGAAGAACCATCTCCAGTTCCTGAGGATGTGGTCGACAAATTATAGATTAGTCCCTGCACTATCTACAAGAAGTCAACCACAACAAATAACCGTAGAGGGAGGATTCACGTGAGGCTTCCCTTCCAGTGCTATATATTTTTATGATGATGTTAAGACTTCAAATCAGACGATCATTCTGTTTTACTGCCACACATTCAGTCATAATTGAAATCACATGTGCAGGGCACTTGAAATGACAAGTTTAATGCACTCTGTGATGGTTACATTTCCTGACAGCCTGAGTGTAGATTTTAGCTGAGATCAGTTGATACCACTTTTGGTCCCTGGGTCAGAAGGCTGTGAACTCACAGTCTAGACTGAAACGCCAGTTTAGTCCTCCTCGTCATCATCTACCCAGTTGGTATAAAATATGGACCGATCTCAACTTGTTCGCTTGGAAGAAACCCTACTTTATTCTATGGCGTTTCCTTTTTGTCTGGTAAACGCTTATCTTCAAGACTTACTGTCACGATTGCATACTGCGTTGGCAAATGCTGATTAGATCTTGCCATGTATCACCGAGGGCTCGGTTGACCACAGACAATAGTATCTGAATCACTATTAGATGACAGGCTCTTATATAAAATACGAACTCTTAGCGAGATTTACTAGATTTTACTACGTGTGGCTTATGATGCCAGAAAACCTGGCTGAAGAGAGGGGCGGGGGGGAAGGTTACTAGTAGCCCGTGTATGCGATTCCTTCAAGCCTTGCATTGTACTGGCCATTCATGACGTGGCGATGACAGTCTGTGGTCCACACTTCCCTCCCCTCCCCTCCCCCCGGGCTGGGATCTGGGATGGGAGAAAGGATTGTAAGAACACAGCAATCATCAATGTTTTAAGGAACAGCGATCATCAATGTTTTATTTTCGATCCACCACTAATGACTTGAAACCCTCTTGGGAGTTCAACAATTAAATTGTTAACCCAAGTAGATTTAAATGCACTTTGGAGACCTGGGCTATTTGGATTGCCAAGCCTGGGGGGGGGGGGGAATTGTACGGTTGGATTACAACAACCAAACACGACAGTCATTTACCCCAATGAGAGTTCCACAAACAGTCATAAGAAAAATGATCGATTCATCTGGAGGGTTATTGGTGAGCACCAGAAGACACTACTCTGTATAATACAGTGGAGTCCTATAGCTCAGTGTGGAGTCCTGTAGCTCAGTGGTTAGAGCACTTGCCTTGCAAACGAGACACCTGGGTTCAATTCCCGGCAGAGCGAAACCTTGGGCAAGTTTCCTTACTCCACACAGAGCCTAATAATAAACCCTCCAAAACAAAACAATAATGAATTGGTCATTTTCAATCCACGACTGTTTGTGGGACACCGTTGTGCGCAATTGGCTGCGCGTTTCATCCACAGTCTATTCCGTGAAGCGCTTTGAGACGTCGAGAAGACGTGAAAAGCGCTATATCAAATGCAAGGATTATTATTATATAAGATCTCGGTTTGAATGTCTTGTTCAAAGGACAGCCCCTCCGACAACCCAACAGTTTGCCTAAATTAGGACCTGAAATCCCAACTTGTAGCAGAACCTGCAACTTTCTGAACTGGAGACCACAGCATTGCCGACAGAAGCAAGCTGACGCGTGGAAAAGTTACAAGGTTTGAAACTCGACTCAACTGAAGGGACCTCCGGTCTCGGTTGGCTACACTCTGATCGTGAACTCCCTCCAAAAGAGTTTGATTTCCACCCTGGTTGTCAATCGAGTGGAGAGTTTCAGTAGTTCTCTGACAGGCCGCCAGAGGGAACATAATCTCAGGGGACTGAAAAACTGACAAGAACTCAATAAATACACCCCGACAAAGGCGTCTCCTTCAGCCAATCCCAGACCATGACTGTGGAGCAGTCTATGACCCAGACGTTTCCACTTAATAATCCTTGCATTTTTAACCAGCTCGAAAGCAACGCCAGGCAGTGGGAGGCCTAAAAGAGGAAAAACGCACAGGCACAATAACCTTAAAAAAAATCCTTCCACACGTATGTCTCTTTCCACAAAGGCAATTCTGCTGCTACACCATTTTGACGTGTAAATAAAGAAAACTCATTTAGACTGAAGTCAATAGATGTCGGATACTTGCACTGAAAACACAATACTAACACAAGACACACTGCCTTGCCAGCGTATTTTGTACAGAACCCCAAACAACCAGAGCAAGGATGATGAATAGTGTACATTGACAGAAATATTATGCTAATTATTCCTTTGCTACAACACAACAGTCAGTGCTGGTGAGAGAAAACATCTCACATCTATATTGTGGCAAATATGTCAGCAAACTATCCAAATTATGGCATAATCTCAGGCTCAGGGGTAAAAAGATGGGACTAAAAGTGACATTAGATGACAGTCAACAGTAGTCTTTGAAGATGTATTCATCTGGGCTCCTGTGATTAGCAAGATACTATCCTGTGTACAAACATCATCTTTTCAAATTTTCTTCACCGATTTGTAGTTCTTTTAACATCTTTTTTCCGCTGCACGTCCACTTTTTTCAGCACGCCACGATTTGAGAAATAATAGTTTTGTGAATTTGGTGTCACTTCTTGGTGCTGGCTGAACATGTTATCTCCTGCTGCGACAATATAAAGCCTCATTTAATCAAGATCCATTTAACACTGAATCACGCTAACAAGATTACTTAGCCAAGGCTAATTCCACATTTGCTGAAGTGCAGTATCCACGGAGAATAATCTCCATGCACCTCTGCTGGGTCCACAGGCAGTTAGCTGATAGTTGATTGTCAGAGAGAGAGAGAGAGAGATTGTCTGTATTTTCTCTATCGTCAGCTCAATTGGGACTGGATGGGAACATTTGCTCACACCTTTTCTCCACTTTGCATAAACTTCCCCGTAGAAATGTAGTCAATACCAAATTCTACCGTGAGCAGAGTCTAAATACTCATCCTTCAGATGACACGTTAAACCGAGGTCTCACCTGCCTGTTCAGGTTAAAGATCCCATGTCGCTATCCGAAAAGAGAAGGGAAGTTCCTCCGGGTGTCCTAACCAATAATCCCCCAAGATAACAAAATATTGATCACTCACTCCATGGCTATTTGTCGGACTTTGCTGTGCGCAACTGGCTGATGCATTCCACCCACAAAATACACAATCAATCCACTTTACAGTATATCCTGTGAAGTGC